CAGCAGTAGCAGCCTCAATGCACGAAACGAAAAAGTGAATTCATGTACAGTTTAGATATTCTATCGGTTGCTTTCAATGTCTCAATAGACAATTGAAAAGTCAATTTGCATTGCAGATGATTTCCAAACCAATTTTCAACTATGCTTATTTGCACGCTATTTGCATTTCGCTCGCATTTTCAAACACTCTCCCGTTCCCACAATCCATCGCCATTTTCTTGATGATTCTTTTTCACTCGCTCTCTCTCTATCTCTATCTCTCTCTTTGGCTCATTCTATCTCTTTTTGTCTACACATTGACTATACATCACATTTTACTTAACTTTTCACATGTTTGTCGCTATGTCTTTCGGTTGCTGTTGCCGATGTCGTCGCTACCGCTTCCAAATGCCGTTCCCATAAAATATACGCTCGTTGAGTATTGAGCATCCAAATGAAATTGACAATGTATTATTATTACACGTACTTATTCGAATTGGGGTATTATTATGATTATTCTTATCGGTAACAGTTTGATTCTTTTTCAAGCAATTTTTGCTGTGTTTGGGTGTGGGTGTGTGTGTGTGTGTGTGTGTGTGTGAGTATCGGTCTCTAACCAATCCTCATTTGATGTGGTTCGATATTGATGTTCAGCGCTGTTTTTGCACTACGTGTTTTTTCCTCTATCTCTAGCATTTACCTCGTTCTCGTTTAACTTGCTCGCATTTTCGACCTGCTCTCACTCTCACACACCACGCAAAAAGCATTCTAAGGGAATTTTAAGTCGTTGACACTCTTCATTTTTGCATCGCTACTAGTTCATGTTGCACACGTTCATTGAAGAATGATTTTACGGATTGTATGTGTGTATGTGTTTGCCCCCCATCCTCCCCTTCTCTTTTTCTCTCTTCCCATCGTTGTCATCAGCATCGCTGTTGTCGTTTTAAATCGAAACAGGGAAAACTTTTCAATGCCTCTTCAATGTCATTTCGTTGATATTTGGTATGTTGTTGGTGCTATCTCTCACAAAATGTGCCCTATCATGTTTTTTTTGTGTGTGTGTGTGTTATCGAAGCTTTATTGAATTATGAAGTTAACGAAGAATTTGATGTTTAAAAGTTTACAACTTTATCAGCAAATGAAACGAGAGCACAGCACTGAACTTTCTCAATGAGTGAGTTGATTTTTTGTAGCTGTTGTTGTTCCCACACCCCATTGGAACGCAATTGGCATACAAACGCAACGGGGAGATAGAGTATCATGTTCAAAATAAAATGAGAGAATAAAAAAAAACAAACCGATTGATTCTAATTATGAATCAGTGCGTTTATATGAGACGATGATGACGACGACGACGTTCCATGAATCAATAACAGCGTTTATTTGAGCGAACAAGGCAACTGCCATTTTACCCAGCCAAAATCAACTTCGAGTAACATTTTCAAGCTTTTTTTATAAATTTATCTGAGCATGTTGACTTTTTTTTGGCGTTTTTTTTTCTTCTTCTGTGTATGCATCAATACTTTCATTACATACTGAAGATGTAAACGACGCTCTCTAATTACATTCGAACAAATAATCCATAATTTATAACTTTTCCGTGATCAAATCGATAGAAGAAGAAAGATGATGCAACCAGTTTGATCGACAAATGTATGAAGTGTATGCTGTTTTTTTTTCTCCAGTAGCCCGCTTGCTCATCGTAAGCTCAGAAACCATCTCAGAGAAAAACTCACCATTAATTCAAAGAAAAAGTCACTTTTTTGCACTCTTAACTTTATTTCGCGCAGTGCATCTTTTGCTGATATTTCGATTGAGTTTTTATTTTCGACGTTCAGTGCAATGAAATAAATGCGCCACAAAGCGATTCGTTTGCTTTTTTTCATTCTTCTTCTTCTTCTTCTTCTGCTGGTTGCAGTTGGTCTACATTATGACTTCACATTTTGGATCCATTGCGATGCGATATCTTTTTTCTGTTTTTTCGTTTTATGCTTCATATTTTAACATATTTCTCTCGTCAGTTTATATAGAGACAGAGAGCGAGATAGAGACTGAGTGAGCGGAAGTCTGTGCATTTTTCAGTTTTACCTTGTAAAATATGCAAAAAAAAGCATTTCTATGGATTTTATAGCCTCAAAAGAATCGTTTGAATTCATTCCATTGGCGAAATGAGAGACGAGCAAGATGCAAAGTGAGCGAATGAGTGAGCGAGAGAGCATAATGAAAAGAAAAGAAGAAAAAAACACACGTTCACACACTTTCTATCCGAACTACTAAAATGTTATAAGTGTGTTGATCATCTTTTATTCGGCTCTTGATACTTAAGTTGAAATATACCTTGTTCACAACCATCATCGACATAACTCCCTTTCTTTTTGTTCCGTTTCCCTTTTAATATTTCTGCGCTCTCTTATTTTCTCCTTCTATATGCATATTCTCAATTTGCTTTTCCCGTATTTTCATTCGGAATGTGGTCGTTTTCACTCTCTCTCTCTCTCTCTCTCTCTCTCTCTCTCTCTCTCTCTCTCTCCTACTTCCAAGATGAACTTATTACACACAATTTCCATCGATTTTCATATTCAATCGAGTGGTAGTAGAGAATATGTTTTCTTCTTTTTTATGTATATATGGAGATGTATAAATTCATCCAACGATAGATAATTCGTTTGGGAAAGAGAAAAATCATGTTAAAATGGAAGATTTTTTTTAAAATAAAATGTAAAATACCACCTCTATATCCATCGAGATATTGCACTCAAAGTGAATGAACCGCAGCAACATGAAATACGATTTAAATGAAAAAAAAAATTGCATTCACCACAAATGGAACCATCATTCGGTGTAGTGATAATGAAAAAGGCGGTCAAATCGATAACTATTACATAAAACTCCATATATACCGTTGAAAAGAGTACGTATGAATTAAAAATATTACGCCTTGAAGAATTGGAAGCGTCGGAAAAGTTGTTTTGCCACGCCAAAACCAACATGAGAATTAAATTTCAATATTGAATTCAGGGAATTGATTCGAATCAAAGTGAGAGATGAATGAAAAACAACAACAACATCTAATGCAAGATGAATTTGCTTTATGTTGAATGTGTGTGTGCATAAGAAAGATATCTCAAGCAACCAAGCATGCACACGGCCCATCGACGACTTCAATTTTATTTTCATCATTACTATAGGATTTTTTCTGAATCTCTCTCTCTCTCTCTCTCTCTCTCTCTCTCTCTCTCTCTCTCTTTCCAAGACTCTCTCCTCGCTCTTTGTTGTGAATGAGCTCATGACTGTGTCTCGAATGCCCTAATCGTTTGCACCATTTTTCCGTTCGTAATTTTTCTTTCTCTCTTTTCGCTCGACATTGAGATATGTCGAACACCGTCAACAAATCAACGGAAAATGGTTTACCAATCGAATCGTTTATACGTGTGTACAAGTAATCGACAATATCGATGAATGTCGGTAGAGAATGAAAGCCCATTGCCGTTTTTATGTGAAATAAGTAGTAGTATTTCGATAATTTTCTTTCGCTTTCAGCTATATTTATACGAATGTTTGTATCGGTCACACTTGAATTTAACGCACATCAATTCGATGACTGATACACAACAGCGGCAACAACAGCAATGAGAAAAGCTGAACACCGAAATGGAATAAAATAAAAATAAAACCATGAAAATGACAAAATACAAATCCAACCTAACGTACAATTCAAAGGCTATCGAAGGCCGAAAAATAAGAAAGGAAACCACCGGCCCACCACCGTGCAACCGCTTTTGATCCATACTACTAAACGAACCTAAATAAACATGTAATAACAATACTAACAATACTAACAATAATAGTAATAATAAAAGCGACAATTTTCGTGCGAAAATGTTATTATAGGTTACCACTTTAGTTATTGTGAATTGCCACAAATCGATCCAAATCGAAGTAAATAATAATCAAAATCGGTCGAGTGTGTGTGTGTGTGTGAATGAGTTAGTCGTTGTGGGTAAAAAGGGCGACAATGAGGCGATATGATTCAAAGTGGAAGCACTTGGGGCTCGGTTGAAACGGGATGTGTGTGTGTGTGTGTGTATGAGCGACGAAAAGCCAACGAATAAAAAAAATATTTCGCAATGTGAGACAGTGAATGGACGAATGTGAGGAGACACACAGAGAGAATAAGGGAAAACACTAAAGAAAAAAAAATGGAATGGATATGAAACGAAACGTAAAGCGAAGCAAAATTCATTTTGAACCACTATAAAATGTTGGTAGACTTGTATGGCCGGGGTGATTATATGACTGCCGTTGGTGATTTTCACTTTACACGTCATTCGCATCGAGGCGGCAAGTGTGCCGGTGTGAGAGAGAACGAAAGAGACAGACAGACAGAAACAAATAAAGACGGCAGCGCAATAACACGTGTTCCAAAGAGATATTGGAAATGCTTTGAAATTAGATTATTAGTATGTGGGAAAGCTTCATTTTTATGCTTGGTGGGAAAAGTGCAGTCCATTAAAATGGAATCCGATTCGCAATCGGAATTCGAATTCAAAAAGGTTATGAAATTTTATAAGCAGCATTTCTGGATGATATAACCGTCTCACATATGTGATTCTTCCAAAACCTTCATACACCCATCCAATTCTTTACTATCATTTGCCATTTATTAATATTTTGTATGAACATTCTCCGTTCCTCCCAGATATTATTATTTTCTGTTCGTTGTTTTTTTTCCTTCTTGCCATCGACTTGCACTAAAATGACCATCGACAATTCAATTGACGAGAGAGAGAGAGAGAGAGAGAGAGAGAGAGAGAGAGAGCGAACATTTGTTGGCTTTGGTTGAGCTCAAGCACTTTGTGCGAGAAGTGTCCGTCGTTTGCCACATTCAATAATAATGATATCGACCGTTTTCGATCAAATTTAATAAGAAGATTGAGATCAATTGTTTCATCTTATCGGTTTCATCTCATTTTCCTTCTATTTTGTGTCATTTTGAAAAAAAAAATGAAAATAAATACTAGGAAGCGGATATCGCAATTGCACCGATGACCATAACAGCCGAACGCGAACGAGTTATCGATTTCAGTAAACCGTTTATGTCGCTGGGCATTTCGATTATGATTAAAAAACCAATCAAACAGAATCCGGGAGTATTCAGCTTTTTGAATCCACTATCGCAGGAGATTTGGGTAAGTCAGGCAACAAAAGCAGCCGCCACCACCACCATCATCATCATCATCGTCCATATCCGATATTAAATCCGGATATTACAATATTTACATTTCGTTCAATAAATTTTCACCATGTTAATCTGGGCTTTATCATTTTCTATTTGATGTGTTTATAGATGTGCGTGATATTCGCTTATGTTGGCGTCAGCATTGTGCTTTTCATTGTTTCAAGATTCTCACCACAGGAATGGCGGATCGTTCAATTAAATGGTATGATAGTAGCGCTAAGCGTATTTAAGTATATAACATGCATGAATGCATGTGAAGCGCGCGCTAGATGCTTCTCATTTTATTTCCTCAATATTTAACCCTCTAATGCATTATTTTTCCCTGGGCTGGGAGTACTGGTACTTGGCTGATATTTGGCTATAGATATTTAAAAAAATAGATTCCTCATGGTTCAGTCAGGAAATGCGATTGACATAAATCAGAGGACAATCAAATCCATTGTTTAAAAGTGTCAAAAATGTATCTAATTTGAAGTTCGAATAATTTTTTTTGTCAAATTGAGGCGGTTGTATGCATTGGAGGGTTAACCAAAAAAAAAAATCGCCGGTCGTTTTTGGATGTGAGGGATTAATTTTTGAATCAGCAACCATCTTGAATTTTTAATTGTAGCCCTTGTTTTTCAATACATGAAGCCAATTTGGTATTTTGTGCGGCATTTCGCCGCTCGTTTATTTGATAAAATGTGTTGGTCGCATTATGGTGTGCCGGTGTGTGTGTGTGTGTGTCGGTGCTGTTGTACAATCGAGCCATCCAAATATTGTGTATAATTTTTCTATATGCATATAAAATTGGGATGAGCTTGGTTGGACGCAGCATAATGACGAGACGAGAGCGATATACACATACACACACAAAGTGAGAGAGAGTGCACACAAAATCCAAACATGTCCAAAAACGACACGGGGTAAATCAAATAACACTAATTGATGAAAATGTGTGTATGTGTTTTTCATTTTTGGTGTACCGATAAAGGTGACGTGAGCCACATATCAGGTCAAGTGGCCACTCAGCCAGCTGTTAATGAATTTAGCATATCGAATTCATTTTGGTTTACATTGGGTGCGTTTATGCAGCAAGGTTGTGACATATCACCGCGCAGCGTGTCCGGCCGAATTGTTGGCTCGGTATGGTGGTTTTTTACGCTCATCCTTATTTCCTCGTATACCGCCAATTTGGCCGCATTCTTAACCGTTGAACGTATGGTAACGCCGATCAAATCAGCCAAAGATCTTGCCTATCAAACGGAGGTACAGTACGGAACACTCATGTCAGGCTCAACAATGGACTTTTTCAATGTAAGTACAAGTACATACTACAACTACTGCAATACCAATCGAAATATCAATAGGTTCTTTGTCAAAGGGATATAGACAGGGAGGAATAATACATTGCAGCAGCAGCAGCAGCAACAACAGCAACAACAACAACAAAAAGAACAAGAATACCGGAGCAAAATGAAAATGCAAATTGGCCAGTCAACGTTGAAATACGATTAAAAACGTTCACATCGGAGCACGAGGCATCCAGTAAAAAGACGATCGCGAGAGAAAGAGAGAAAGAGAGAAAAAAATATGAACGAACAAACGAACAACCGACCGACCGACGAAGAGAATGTTTCTGTGGAATCTGCGGGCGCATACTGCAGAACAATTCGAATTAATCTTTCCATCCTCTGTGCGGTGCGGTGCATATTCGCAGTGGGAGAATGAGAGACAGAGAGCCGCACTTCTTTTATGGATTTGAATATGTCGTTTTATCGCATTGCTTTGACATAAATTTGAAAATATCAGCAAATTGACATGGTTCAGCATGCAGAAGCAGATAAATCGACCCGATGTGTATACATATTAACCGATGTATGTTCTGCAGCTACATACAGCCAAAATGAAAATACGAATTGAACGTAGCGAAGGAAAAAAAACTCCACATACACATAGACACATACAAAGGCAAGTGCAGCAATGACAAATCAAATAACGGATAAACGTAAAACAACAGCCGCTTTTCTTATTGAATGCTGTTTTTCGCATAGTTTGTTCTGCTGAACACTCAACATTCATCCAACTGCAAAGAGCCGAACATAGCGAGCGAGCGAGCGAGAGAGAGAGAGAAAGAGAGAGAGAGAGAGAGAGAGAGCGAAACGACAGAGCAACAGAAAAAAAAAACACATCACATTCCAGAACTTTTTTAATTTTCTCTGGCTTTTGGTTTTCATGTGCAAAAACGCGAATGTATATATATACACGTCATTCAGTTCGTTTTGTATGTTTGTTCACAAAACTTCAATTCAAAAGAAATATCGCGTACCGTCAAAGAAAGCATTGGCCCGAGCTGAAAAAAAAACCAGCCACGGCAACAGTGAACTGCACACACAAAAAAAACCAGCACCGATAGCGTTTTTGCAATGTCAATGAGTGAAAAGCGAGAGAGGGAGAGTGAGTGCAGAAAAAACACCGTAAAGTAAATGGAAAGAAAAGGCAGAGTCTGAACATAAACATAAACTTTTTTAAATAAAAGCAAATACATTGGGAGCAGCAGAAACCGAGCTCACAAAAAAATAAAAAAAGAGCGAAAAAGAATTAAAAGAAGAAAAATTCCAGCCCTGCCATGGGTTTCGGTGAGGATGGAAGGTGCAAAAAAAGTGTAGCCCACCATCGAATTTCAAGTAAAATTGCTGAAACTGATGCGGGATCTCGGTGTCGTAAATGATTCAAATCTGATGGCACTGTGTAAAGTTTCATTTGCCATTCACTCTATTATTATTTGTTTTCGTATTTCACTTTTTATTTTTTATGACCGTCGATCCATTATAATTTTACCCAGTCTATTGCCGTCCGTCGACTAACCGACCGACCAGCCAGCCAACCAACCAACCGTTTGCGCCACCCAACACGTCCCATTTGTTTTCGGTGCGTGGCCTTTGTTGTGCGCCTTAACCTTGATTGCATTTTTCGGTTTGACGAAAATATTTCTTTGTTGATAAAGACACGCTCTAGCCGACATAAATGTAGCAATTCGTGTTGAGCACCTTTTTTTCTCTTCTTTTCGTGTCACAGTGATACGATGTAAAGCACGCAAATCCACCCTCCAAAGAACAACACCAACAACAATCAGAAGAGAGAAAAAAGCCGACGACGAAATCAAAACAAAAATCCGACGATTCATGACAATTGCGTTACCTATTTGAAGATTTATACAAAAGGTGAATCGTAAAATGCCAACAAACTGACGGCACAAAATAAAAAAAAATAACAACTACGGAAAATTGTCCATGCAAACTCAATTCCAAAGTGTTAATGTGTGCACACAGTTTCAGGAGTGGAACAGAAACAGAAAGACTGAGAGCAAAGTAAGAGCATGAGGGAGAGAGAGAGAGAGAGAGAGAGAGAAAGAGAGAGAGAGAAAGAGAGAGAGAGAGAGAGAGCGAGTATTAGCAAAAAAGCGCACACATACACAAACGACTGTTGAAAAACACATTCAATCAGAGGACCTCGGAGCCGAAGTCAGAGTCAGAGAACGGGAAACGTTTTGTGTGATACAAATACAAACTGCAAGGTGGCAAGGCGAATGCGTGGATATTTCACGTGAATTAAGAGCTACCATTAAGAATTACAACAGCCAATAAAGTTTTTATTTTCCACAGAATCACAAATTGCTTCGTATAATCTCTATTTCGTCCATTAATTATTATTCTTATGCTGCACGTTGCTACAGCGTGTTGGCTCGCTCTTGAATCACCGTTTCCAAACAATGGATAGAGGAAGAGAGCGAGAGAGCGAGAGAGCTACCAAACGAAGTGAAGAGGTATGAGAGAGGGACGAAAGCCTATTCACAAAACTTTTTATGACGAGTCAGAGAAAAAAGGTTAATTAAAGCATCGAGACGCAACCGAAGATTGGACAACCACTTAAGCATTTTTGCCGTTGAATTGCTTTGCAACGCATTTCACACGGGACGACGTAAACACATTTAGCCGACTCAAATGGAAGTTGTCATAATCTTTTTTATTTGCTACGAAACAAGAACAAGACATGAGTGAGAATGGGAGAAGGAGAGACAGAACGAAAAAAAAGAACAACATCAACAACTCGAATCACAGATAATTATCGCACTCTCGTTGTTTAGCATACCATTTCTTTTGTAATTGTTTGAAGAAGGAAACCCTTTGCAATTTCACTTTACCTTTTTTTTTCTTGGCTTCGACGTCATTCCTCGCTGTCGCTTAATTCAGAGAAAAAACAATCGACAATGTAATTTGTACGCTTTAACCGTATATCCTTTTTTTTATTCGCTTCAAAGAAATCACCGATTGATTTATACGCCCACATGTGGAAGTACATGGCATCTCGGCCCGAAAACTTTGTCAATTCATACGAAGAAGGTATCCAACGTGTGCGTAATTCCAAAGGAAAATATGCACTTCTCATCGAATCACCGAAAAATGATTACACCAACGTACGAAAACCATGCGACACTGTAAGCAATTTTTTGATTATATGGAAAAATCTCAATTGACACAAGCAATGGTATTTACCGATTTGTATTTTTGTTTTTCATTCTAGATGAAAGTGGGCCAAAATTTGGACAGCAAAGGATTTGGCGTTGGCACACCACTGGGCTCACCATTAAGGTTGGTTAATCTGAATGATTGCATTTTAATGATTGTTCCAAATTTATTTTCGTCAGAATTTTTTTTCTGTCATACTAATCGGTGTTCAATCGGAATAACTCAAAATGAAAGCAAAATCGATTTACTTATTGATCATTCTCAACTACACCACTATGACACAATTTAAATCTAGTGATTCATCAGTAGCGACATTTAGAATGCTCCCGCGTCTAATTGAAATGAAAGAGAGAGCTAGGTCTTTACAAGTAACACGGGGGAAAAAAATTATGCGCAAAACTTTCGATACTGATTTGAATTTTTAATGGGCTAACCGCGTGCGCAATTGCATCACATAAAACCGTATGTCTTCAGTTCATTCTATTTGAGTCGTTTAAAATACAAACATTTCAATTTTTCACTTCTTCTGCGTTGCATGGCAATTCGAAAAGTTTTGTCGGTGGCACAGTGATACAAATATTAAGAAAGAGAAGGAAGAAAAAAAGACAGAATTAAGACACACAAAAAATGTCTTCGGAAAAAAAGACAACGACGACAGCAAAAAAAAGGCACACACACAACGCTGGCACATGAAACAAAAAAATACTTTCAAAAGTACTTACTAATTCCTCTGTCACACAAAGCAGTTCATAAAAGCAGCGCATTTCAAGTCAATTATTCCAAGAATTTAGTTTACTCAAATTCAAAGAAAAGCGCACAGAAAGAAATCGAATACACACAGAGTGGAAGAGCGAGACTGAGGTAGAGTGAGCGTGCACAAGACACAAGTTTATTGCAAGCGACTTTGTTCGTTTTTCACATACACGGTTTGTGTTCACAGGACGTCATCCAAAAAGTGGAGCAAAAGATGCACAACCATCAGACAGATACACACGAAGAGCAAGATACATAGAGAGAATGAGAGAAAGCGAGGAGACTAATGCAAATTTTAATAAAGTCATAAATTAAAGAAATATTTTTTGATTAAATACATTCATAATTTTCTACGTTTCTCTCTTTTTTTGGGTAACGAACGACAGAGCACGAACAAAGCGAGCGAGAGAGAGAGATAGAGAGAGAGAGAAAGAGAGAGAGAGAGAGATAGAGATAGAAATGGTGAAAGAAAACCGACTAAAAACGAAGAATGTGAGCACAAAACAAAAATGATAATACCAAATGAGAGGAGAGCAACTTGAAGCGCACACACATACATAAACAGAATGAAATGAAAGGCAAAAACGAGAGGGACGGAAAAACAGAGAGAAAGAAGATGCAATTGCCATGGCACACACACACACACACACACGCAAATGGTAGTCCCTTTTATTGGTGCATCACACGAAATGAGATGGAGCAAGAAAAGTGAAAACCGAAAAATTTCCTTGAATAGAGAGGAAAAAAAGCGGAACGAAGAAAAATGACGACGACGGCGAAAAACAAAAGATATTTTACTTTTGCCGTAAGTAAGTAAGTGCTGCAATTGCAATTTCAACGCAAAAATGCTTTTTGCACGCAACTCAAATATGCAACCCAAAAAATGAACTCACAAATACACATTTGTACTTGCCATACACATTGTACAAACACACAAGAGCGCGTCACTCTTCTTCTACACTTGCACAAAAACAACCATTCGCCTCTTCCGTTTTCAGCCGTCGCTCTCCCATATGAAAATGTGCCCTTTTCCCTTGACGCTCATTTTTCGCCCCATTCTTCGACAACGTCACCCTTTCGTTGTCGTCATCATCGTCGTCCCCTCCACGCTCCTCAACGCATCACGCGACAAGAGTTATCAGATAGCAAGAAGAGAGCTTTTAGATAAGGAGTGGAAATGAATTCATAAAACTACGACTGCAAGTAAGAGAAAAATTAATAAGAGAAGGACGAAGAAGGGTGCACAAGTAACCGTCGGTAAAATGCAACGCAATGTTAAGTCATAATAATAACAATTCGCATAAATAATCGCAGTGGAACAGAACATGTATGTCTATCTACCGCCGAAAGACGCAACATTCCTGCTCTCTCTCTCTCTCTCTCTCTCTCTCTCTCTCTCTCCCTCTCTGCGCTTAAGTGTATACGGTACTTGATACTACCACTTTGGTGGCACTTTCTGCCTTTGTATTCGTTATGTTTTTTTCTTTGTTTTTACAATTTATCTACCCAAAGAAATTAATTTCAAGTTGAAGACTCACAGGCAACTGGGCGAACACAAGTGAAAAAAAGAGAGAGAGAATAGTGTATGGCACACGCATACAAACATTGTTTTCGCGACATTCAAATGCGGGTGACTTGGATTTGTATGCGTTCTGTATTTTTTTTTGTTCGTCTTCGTCCTATTGTTTTGTCCTTGTAAATGCGCGCGACCTCGTTCACACTAACTCTGTTCGTCACATGCGAGTAACCGTGTTTCGGTGACATTCACTGAGCAAGCAACTGAGCAAAAATGTGACTATACACTGTGCAAAGCGCGGCTGTTGCCATTCAACTTTTCCTGTTATAAAAGCATCAAATTATGCTTTTTGTCATTACAATTTCGTCGCCATCAACCACTTTGAATAGTTTTCTCTTGGGCTGTTTGCATCTCACTTTTTTTTTGCTGCTACTACTGCTGCTCTCGAGCTGCCAAGTGTGTGATTGTGTTCAGCATTTCGAAGTCAACTGGCAAAAAAATATGATAAAATCAGTACAGAACTATTTGCAAACTTCCAGGGTCCTGAATGTCTAACTTTGAACATACACGCGTGGAAAAAAAAATCGCCCGACTTAAGATAAGCATTGAAAAATTGCATCTTTCATAATTTTTGTGGCACATAGTTCAGTGTGCAGGCGGGGCGCGGAGCAAACAAACAAAAAGTGATCGACGGCAACGATCAATGCAGTTTTGCAGCGATAGAGTAATCGATACCTATTTATCAATATCAAAAATGATGATGGTAACCTTGGAATGCTCCTTGTGAGACTAGATGACATTTTGATTGCATCGATAAATCATGACAAAGTCAACATCTATTTTCACAACTCTTGTTCATCGCCACCACTACTGTTGCTCCCACTCTTTGAAATGCACTCTGGCTCTCTTCTTTTCTAGTTTGTGTTCCGTCAAATTACTTGGCGTTACAATCGAAATCGATTTCCGTGCCAGAATCACACTGTTGGAGGGTTTTTTTTTGGAATGGCTCACTCAATGCAAGTCGCACCAGTCACTTTAATACCGGAAAATGAAAATATCATCATTATTATTCTTATTATTACTCATAATGGCTTTTGTAGCAGCACAGTTCAAACTGTGTAAGAGCTATTCTTTCTCTCTGTCTCATTCCGTCTCCCTTTCTCTCTGCCTCTGTGTATGGTGCATAACAGAGAACCAGTGTCTGTTTGTCGCAATTCTATCTCTCGCTCTGTGTCTCTCTCTATTTCCACCTGATTCCACCCAGTTCCTTTTTTGCTTGTATTCCTTTTGTATGCTCTCTTGAGTCATAACTAATATTACATTTTTGTTTTAAACATTATTATGATTTCCGTTTGCTTCCTGTCACCCAAGATTCCATTTTCTTTTCATATTCGCATCGAAGCGAACGGGGGAAGAGATATGGAGCAGCAAAAAAAAAACGAAGAAGAAGAAAGCAAGACAAATATTGCGTTTATTTCTTGTATTTTCCCTTTCGGTTTCGCTTTTTGCCTTTTCCATCTTGCAATTTTATCTCTAGTGTGTTGCACTAGTTTCATCACTATCTCTCCGTACCTCATCTAATTCTATCTTTCTCTTTCTTTCACTTATACAATCTTATGGGCCACTAGAGAGAATTGCAACGTGATTTATGTATTTATACTCATATATATATATATATATATGTGTGTGTGTATGTAAGAGGCAAAAGTATCTTCGCGCTTGCATTTGGTGCAACGCATCACAGAGACACAATATTCCATTCGCCGAAGAGAATTCGATCGTAGAAAGAGAACCCATATAGCAGTCCTACAAAAATGAGAAACAAAATCAGCCAATCGAGTGTTTTCTAGAAAGCGATCGAAGTAAGCAAACGAAATGAAGCCGATAAAAGAAGGAAAAAAAAAACGCACATAAAGACTGAAATGCAAACGGAAAAAAAGGGAGAAAGAGACGTAAACGAAAACCAAACTCAAGCGATACCAAGCCAGCAAATAGAATAGTACGGGTGGAAAAACATCACAAAATCGAATGACGATTAAACAAGAGCAAAAAGTGTAGCCGCTCGAGCTGAGCATGTGTGTGTGTGTGTCTGTGTGTCTGTGTGTATTTCGCTTTCTCTCCGCACGAATCGAATGTCAAGATGAACAAAAGGATTGAATGACGGGTGTAAAGTGCGCGCGACAGATAAACCAATGCACATACACATGCGGATAGAGAGAATCGAATGCAAATGCATCGAAATACACACGTATATTGCATGCACGTTCAGTATGCATTTACCAAATGCCGTTATGCACGTTCCCACTCCATTCCAATCTATCGAGCTTTCTCTCTCTCTCTCCCCCCCCCCCCTCTTTTCTGGCTCGAACCCTGCTTTTGGAGACAACTCCACCGATGGCTAGAAATAAACGAAAAATCGAAATAAGACCAGAAATAGCAAGAGAAAAAAAAGAAACGGAGGAATACAAAAAAAGAGATTCGATGAAAGAAGAAAATTTCCGTAGAACGTTTTCTGATAATAACTTCTGTTTCTATTCCTTATTCTCTCGAATCGCATCCGTGTTTTGATTTCCTCGGAATCCGTTGCGTTTTTCCTGTTTTTTCCATCCCGCTCTCGGTTTCCCCAGCACCAGCACCATCAGCACCATTCATTCGCGATTCCGAATCACATTGCCATTTCCAGTGGATCTCACATACTTGCGTGTCTATCGCAATCATCCGCAACTCTCGACTCGCACATTGTGTGTACGTACAGTTGCATTCGAATATCGCGTCGCTTTTGCTCTTCTCGTGTATCGTTTGATATTCCACTTTTTCACTTTGTTCGTTTATTCTTTGTTATTGTTGGTTTTTCTTTTCTGCGCGCTTTCTATCTCCTTTTTTCAGTTAATTTTTTCGTCTCTTCCCATCGCTTTCGTGAATATATCATTGTACTGGATACTAAGTAAATGTGGATTACCATGTTGTTCGACTGGCTGTGTGAAGGCATTAAATTATGTTTTCAAATGGCGAGTATCGGATTGTTGTTGCTACGCTCATTTCATCGCAATCTCTCTCATTCTCACTCTCTCTCTCTCTTTACCTCCCGCTTGCTCGCTCCTTGCCTTGCTTCTTTTTTTTTATCTCATAGCAGTTTTAGCTGTATAGCTTTTTTTTTATTCCAATGCGCCACTCTGCATTCAGGCAACTCCATATTTTCATTCTTTCATCTATAATAATGCTCATAATAAATTCCCTTTCCAACCATGGATTCCCTAATAGCAAACGTATAATCATATTATTTCTCTGCTGAATTCCCATAACGACATAAACATCAGCAGCATCACCATCACCACCACCAGCAGCAGTAGCAACAACAACAACAATAATAATAATATTGTGCCCAACAAAAACGCTTCATTTAATTAGTACATCGTTTCTCGCATTGACATCTATAAAATCAAATGAAACCCTATTGGAGGTTAAGTGAAGGCATTTACGCTTCAAATGCATTCGACATTCATTCAGTTGGCGCGCTCAAGAGAGAAAAATATGCGATTTCATATTTTTGCAACCAAAGAGAATGAGATTTATATCTAGAGCTCTCTCTGTGTGTGGTGTTTTTTTCATTAGCTGCTGAGTTGCTGTTAGGGGGTAAAATAATTTTTTTTCATCTTTTATATCTGCACGCATCAAGTAATAACTTAGAAATTCAATGGTATGCATGTAAATCCGAAATATCCATGTATATTCAACAATATTCATCGTGAACGACAAATGAATATTACTGAATATACATAGATATGTCAAATTTACGTGTATACGTATGAAAAATAAAAATAGTACTGAATCAAACCTTCAACCATAAATTTGAACGATTTTGGTAGATAACGGTGAATATTGGAACATTTTTTGACATTGCAGTCTAATGAATATTATTAAATACACATAGATATTTGAGATTGACGTGCATACCAGTAAATTATTGCAGATTGTATAGTCAAAAAATGTTCCAATATTCACCGTAATCCACCAAAATCTGCCAAAATCCTTCAAAAGTGGTTCAAATTTTTGGTTGAAGGTTTGATTTGCTATCATATTTATTTTTTTAGAGTTATTTGCGTTCTGCAAAATCGCATGAAGCCCCTAGATTAAAGCAAAAGTTGCGTGTTACTTTTATTTCTAGTTGGAAAAATGTTTGTTGTTGTTGTGCACACACAAGCATATTTTTGTCGATCGTTTATTTTGAAATCGTTTGCTGTGAAATGGAATCGGTTTTGATTATTCATCTGAAAGTTTTGGTTCCTAATTGAGTAAATATCCGTGCAACCACTGAATATTTTAGCTCCATAAGCCATATCAATACATGTATATCCATTGACACAAAAATAGATTGAAAAATGGTGAGCTGCTTTTTTAGTGTTGTTTTTGTGTTTTCTGTTTATCTCGATACACGAATACACACACAAATAAATCCATCAAATGTGAGAGAATGGCAGTAAAAACAAGTTCCGGCTTAAATAGAGAATAACACACACACACACACACATGTAATCTAATCGATGTTTGAAACAAAACTATAATTCCAAACATGACAATTTTATCCACTGCTGTAAGATAGCAATATTTTTGTGTTTGTTTGATGGGAGAGAAAAACACATAGCCTTCGGATTAAAATTGAACTTCAATAAGTATTTCCGTCCATCGTCATATAGTCGACACTCGGATTTTTGCCCATTTTATTGACAAAACTGAATGCAAACCATTTTTTTCTCCCCCTCTCTCTCTCTCTCTCTCTCTCTCGTCAAACTAATGTCAATAAAAGAGAAAAATCCATTCCGAACACAGAAGATTTACTTAGTTTGTGTTTTCGTTTTTGGGCAAAGCTTTTGCAATCAACACATTTTTTTGTTGTGCTTTTTAATTGAAATGATTCAAAGAAAATGCCAGTTTTAGATTATCAACGATTTTGACTGGGCCGTTTTTTTTTTATTTCCTCCAAAAGCATTGACATATTGAAATGTCCGAAGAAAAAAAATTGTGTGTATACACTGTCGTTTCCATGCAATTGAGTGTTTGTTTATACAGTCGGTCATCGGGTTCTGGTTTTTGGGGTGTTCAGTAATGTAAACAGTGTGGATGAGGGCCGGTAGCACAAAAAAAATGTTATTTACACGCTTATACAAACGAAACATATTCAAAAATATCATTCATTTTACATTTTATATAAATAAGCTCAGTCAAATGTGAAAAATGTTTGGCATGGCTGTTTTTTGGGGTTGGTCTCTTCAATTTTTGTGAATGTTGTTGTGACAGCACAGTGGTCGCAGTAGTGGTGGGTGAACAAGAGACGGAGAAAGAGTGTGACCATACTTTTTAATTATTAATTATGAATAATGATTAATGAAATGCAATAAAACACTCAAATGAATCATGTGCGTCCGTGTGTATGTATGTGTGTTTTGGGTGGCATCGAACAAAAATTCCATCCTGCAGGATTCACATGTGAAATACTTGAAAAATTGTATAATGTCATAATTTGGTATGTGTGTGTGTGTGTATGTTTGTGTTTGTGCAATATGCATACTCGATCATTTGCCATAGTGTGAGTGAGATAGTGGGAGAAATTCCAATCGAAAAAAAACAAAAACAAAATGTACGCGTTTTCCCGAAAATCTGATGAATTTGTCCAAAACATCGTTTATAATCAATTCGAATATTAAATTGTGTGTTTTTTAATTCGATCCTGCATTTTCCTGTGGAACTTATTTGAAGTTTTAATTTGATGACAGACTTCCACTTAAAATCCATTGGAAGAATGCATACTTTTTTTGTGTGGGCACGATGTAATTTGTATTTATTTATTTTTTTTATTTCGTCCATCCCCTGCGTCGATTTTCTGCAAAGCCAATTAAATGTCACAATGAATAAAAACAACCCAATCCGTGCCATTGTCCAAACGGGAAGAAGTTAAAAGGTTCAAATTATGTTGTATATTTAAAAGGTTGATTAATTAGTTGTCTCATTATGTTGTATTTTTTTCTGAGTTCATCATAAAAACCGAACGCTACGAACGAATAAAAAATTATGATTTTGAGGACAGTCTGTCGGAGCGCAACACCAACAATACCATCATCATCAAAAAATAGCAACGACACGAGCGCTGTGCCAAAAACCATTTTTTTGGCATTTTCATTAAAATTCATTTTATTTATCATTTCTATGTGTTTAACTGTTTGTCTACAATATTGATGTGCCTTGTATATTTGTGAGCACTTGATATTGCCGCTAGACCACAATCATTGATATGATATGTGGGATAGATATTCGGTATGATCGTCGCGGAACACTCTCTTTCTCTCCCTTCATACAAAAAAAAAATCGCGAATGAAATAAAATAAATTAATATTTTTTTTTCTCTGATGGATGCCGGCGACGGTGGCGCTGCTCGGTGTGGTAAAACTACACAAAGTATCATATTGTAACGCGTATATCAACAAGAACATCGTGTTTACATTTGGTTACAATTATGATTTAACAAACATGAGCCTCCAATATATTGGGCCGCTTGTAAATGCAAATCACAACAGCCGTATTTCAATCTATCAAAAATGCATGATAATAATTTAAAATGAACACAAAAAAAACGTGAGAGAAATAACGAAAGAGAGAGAGAGAGAGGGAGAGAGAGAGAGAGATGGAGAGGTGAAGGCGAAAGGGAGTACCGATGCAATGTATCAATGCGATTATACACAGTCAAGTGGAAGGCAAATACAGTTGGTCGTGGTCAATGAAAGCCAACACAATTCAGCATCAGATTGCATACAATTAACTCGAGTTGATCGATGTGCAATTATGTGTGCGATGCCCACCATCAAACTAAATAATTTAAACGCATTTTGATTTAGGATGAATTCCACCTACCTCGACTAATTTGCCAACCGATAAAGAGAGAAACGATTTGCAATTGATTTATACTGAATACAAAAATCCATGTTACATCACATTCTTCCTAATCAAATGTTCTTGGGTATTTTCTTTTTGTTTTGCTTACAGAGTGCCCATAAATTTGGCCATACTGTCGTTGATTGAAAGTGGCGAATTAACGGAACTCTTCAATAAATGGTGGTTCGAAAATACCGAATGTGATCCAACGGAGAAACAAGAAACGTCACGCAATGAACTATCGCTAAAAAATGTGGCCGGTATTTTCTTCATTTTGATCGGTGGCTTAATTCTATCGCTGGTCGTTGCACTGTTTGAATTCATACTGAACAAACGAAATAACGATAAATTTGTGCAACATCATCAAACGCACACGCTCCATCACAATCATCAGCATCACCATCAACAAGCATCACAAACGTCACAACAAATGCAAACGCATTCCCAGCACATGCAACACAATAGCGAAGCACTCAAAACCAAGTTAACAATGCAGCCGGGCTGTGAGTATGACAACAATGGCACAGCGGTAAGTACAAAACGAGCGCGATTGCAATGAAAATAAAATAATTGACAGATAGAGATGGAGAGAGAGAGAGAGTGAAGTGGTATTGATTGGAGTTAGACCGTGCATTCGATTTGAATCGAAGGCATTTCTGCATAAAACCATTTCAAATGTGTTAAATTTCTCTTATTTTTCTCTTCTTCACTGTTTGTTCATGATTCGTCCGTATACATACACGCGCGCACCCTCGCTCATTCGTCCTCTTTTTCTGAACACACAGTATTACTCGGCCAGCACACAGTCAGCGGTGGCTCATTTCGATGGTGACATGCAAAATCCCCAGCAAATTTGACAACAAACCCACGCGCACGACGCACGCATTTTACAGCAGCAACGTCCATCACCGATCATCGGCACAGGAAATAGTACTATACGTCGTTCGGTCTTAACGGCAACCATCAATCGCCAGCACCAACATCAACATCAATTGCATCCCGAAATTGACACATGATAAACATGAAGCGAATAGCAGCAACAACAACAACAACAACAACAACAACAACAACAGCGATAACAACACACAACGATTCCATTCGCATGTTATATACCTCCGTAAATAGCAGTGTGCGACTATGTCATTTGCTCATAAAATTGAGGACATCAAATGAATCATATTCAACTCTTTCGATTTACTATGTATAAATACGAATCAATCGCAAACGCATTTCCCTTTAGAACATCCCTTACTCCTCTACTCCACCCGTGCTCCCGTCCCCGTCCCCATTCGTACACGTTTATCGAAATATTTGTACCGGAATATTTTCAATGGTTATTCTGATTAAAATCTCAATGATACTTATATATGTGTGTGCAGTGTGCAATGTGCATGTGCCTATGTGTATGGGCATTTGTCGAACATTCCGTTCAGATATTGTGGCTTTTGATCTCTCGATGTGGCTGTTTGCATTTAAGATCGATTCGCTTTGAGAACATAGTTTTTGTTTATCATTATCGAGGCCAGGTTCCCACAACCAAATGCATACGCAAGATGAACATACGCTTATCAGTTTGCTCCCATTATTTCCGAATCGGCCCGGCCCATTGTAACAATTACGGCCAATTTTCCGAAAGCTCATTTCAATGAGCTTGGATACTGTTCCCTTGATGTTTAACCATTGTAATTGAAACCTCATCACATCCAGCAAATACATAATAATCGATAAATATATGTTCATGGATAGATTTATTCGAGAATTCAAATTGATTTTACTTGACACTAAAATTTCAAAGCAAACACACACGTACACGCATACACACTCGGTTGTATCCAGCATATCATTTGACAAAGTCGTGCATCGATGCCAAAGTGATGTGTGTACGAATGGCGGGGATTTATTTTTTTTTTTCCTTTCTTTTTTTATTTAATCGAATGTGAATCGAATCCGATACGCTCTTAAATCCGGAAATATTTTGCAAATGAATTTACGTATTGTAGATGTAGAAAAAAAAAACGAAATAACAATCAAATGAGCATACATTTTCCATATACACTGCCAAAATACAAGACAAAACATAAAACGCACACATTGCGAAATGACGTGTATCCTTATCTTCAGATAGGAAAACAAACAGAAAAAAAACTGATTTACTATTCGACGATCGAAATGGATTGCGGAGAAGGTGTAACAAGCGACGATTCGCATTTCATCTCACACTTAATATGGTTAGTCTACACAGTAAACACAATGATTCTAGCAATGTTGAGATTTGACACTTAACTTTGTTTTAGTACCATTTGCTCTAGAAAAAGTTCAAAAGTTCTATAATAAATACATGAAGCTTTGATTTGTGATTTAGTACATTTTACACTTTTTCTAGTACAAATGGTACTTAAATAGATTTCAGTGCCAAATTTCATATTGCGCTTCTAAAAGTTAGAACCATCGTGTTTACTATGTACAGTCAATCCGATAACTAAGATTCTAATAGATAGATTTAATTCAGAGTGGTGACAAGTTAAGCAAAGGACGACCGAAATAAAAGAAGAGGAAATAAAATACTAGCCAAATCAGGCTAGTAAATCATGCGTGTCACAACAACTTGGAAGAGTGTGAGACACTTTTTTCCACATTGCAAATGTGACAAATGCAAGAGCACAAGTTAGTAGCAAAACAACTATATAATGGATTAGAATGTAAATAATGGTAATCATCGTCGTGGTGGGAGGTTTTCTTTTTGTATATGAATGAGAATAGACTGGACAATTTATTTTCAATTGTTGGTATAATATTAACACAAAAAAAAAATGTTATATTGTTAGTTTTCAAAATGAAAAAAAAATGAAAAAACAAAACTGAAGTTAGTGAGAAACAGATTGGAAACGGTGTGACCGATTCGATCGATCATTTCATAAGGCTCTGAGTGATTAGCATATAGGTTAAATGGGGATAAAAAAAACCAGACAAAAACAAATGAGAAAGAAAAGAAGAAAAAAAAAATAATCAAAAGAAAATGTTCGAAATTTAAATGTATATGGCAAACATAATGGCCATTTATCACTTATAAAACCTAAATAATTTGTCGTTTAAGAGAACCGTATGAGATAGAAAGAAAACAAATATATCAGCTATAAACATTTCGTGCTTCGGACAAGACAGAACAGAAAGAACATTTTGCAAACGAAGTGACACACAATTTTTTTCCGTTCAATTTATATCATAATTTCGAAAAGGCAACATTTCCGGTAGCATAGCGAATTCATCAAAGCGAAAGATAAATTCTATTTTGTAAGTTCAGTAGAAAGAAGAGGAAGAAGAAGAATCAGCATGCTATTAAAAGCGATTAAAACTCGGGTATAATCCAGTGTATGGCAGACACTATCTGCAAATTGCATTTCTTGCTAGCAAAAAAGAAAAACAAAACAACCAGAAATCATTTGTCAAAAGAGATAGAGATGGAGAGAAAAAAAATGTAGTTTATGTTTCATACATCAGACACTGGGTTATACCCTCTTCAAATTATGTGTGGTATGAATCAAGAATTAATCATATTGTATGTTTTAATATTTCATTAATAAATTTACGATAAACAAACAACAACAAAACATTTACAATTTAAACATTCATGATGTACAATGTACCAAACGGTTGGTGTAGTGAAACGCACGCGCATTTCCACTTAACCCATTCGCTCCATTGAATAGCTCGGGTGTGCAGTGTGCACACGGTGTATGATGCACATTACATTATCCCGCACAGCTTATATGGTTGAATCTGCGAAAACAATAAAATAAAATAATACAACTAATTATAATTGACAAAGGACTGATCTAAATCGTATATCGCGCTTCAATGGCCACGATGAATAATAGAATCATGATGTGTATTAAGTATTTAAGTATCAGATTGTCGAGGCAGACAACCACCACCCACACACACACACACACACACACACAAACACGCTCAATTTTAAACCAAACATGCTCCGAAACGGCGGCATCGCTAACGGTGGTGGCAATAGCGCAGCGCGGTGTATGCAAACTCAACAACCGAACCATGGTATATCATCATCATCGATTAAACATACTACAATTACATGTATTTGAATAATTGTAGTAAGACAACAACAACAAAAAAAAACATGCGAATAAAAGAAAATTAATAAATTAAACCAAAAAAAAGAGAAAATAAAGCCAAAAATGAGAGAAAAAAATAAACCACTAGATTTAATGATGAACTACATTCGAATTATGTACATGAAATATTATCAATAACGCATTATGCATATAAATTAAACGCATACACATAACCTTTACTGAGCATTAACAACCGCAACCAAACAAATTGTATGTCAAAATGGACGATTTTTATGTGAAATATGAGATTTAACTGAGGACAAAAAAAAACAACCATACACACAAACAAACTTTTATGTATTAAGTGAATCAGTTTTTGTTCATTTTTTTTTGCATACGTGAACTACAACATACAAAATAAAATGAAAAAAAAAGACAAGAAAATCCATTCATACACATGGCAAACAGATTCAAAAATCTAATTCATACACATAATAAACTAAACAACACACCAGAGATGGAAAAAGAAAAATATCCAATGCAAATATCGTAATATACAAAATTTACTGTTAATCTTTATCATTATATAAATATATTAAATATTAAAAAGCCAAAAAATAAAATCAAAACTCTGTCTTTCTCTCAGTGTGTATCATTTTTAATTTTTCAGAGTGCATGGTCATCATCCTTGATGAGAATAATCCATTCAGAGCATCAAATTTCCCATTAATATTACAAAACTAATGGTGGATGAGCATCACTTCGTCATACACAATTTTCTCCGATTTGAAAATCTGATGTAATTTGGCTCTGCATTAAATACACCTTGCTTCTATTTTATTTATGAGGAGGAAGAGAGTTAGTCGTTGGTTGCTTATGTAAATTATCCGAAAAAAAACAAAATGTAATCAGAAATGTTGTCCATTGGACGTTGAATGAGAATAGTTCATAGATAAGTTGTGCTGTGTCAACAACAACAAAACAACTCAAAATATGACTCTAGTTGACAGTAAATTGCAGTGGATCCAAAGTTTGGACGGTTTTATGAAGCCTTTGATGAAATGTAGTATCTGACGGAGACTAATGAACGAATCGATTTTTGTTTTGTTTCTTTTCGAACGTGTAACTCAATTGAAGAGCTATAATTCACCTATGTCATTTTATCTGCTGAATTCAAACAAAAAAAAAACGTTAATAACATCGACAAAGTATAGAAAATTTGTCGCGTCTGTGTCATTTTTAATGGAATCCGATAACATTTTATTCGTATTCAAGCAGCAATTCGAATGTCTTATGTTGACTTCAAACATGATTATAAATGTCAACTCGTTATTGCAATTCTTCTCATTTTCTTATTGTATTCCTTTTTTTTGTTTCTTTCTCTGGAAGTATCTCCATCTCTCTTTCTCTCTCATTCCATAAAATGAAAAAAGCTTCTAGCTAAACAGTGTTTGTGCGCGGAAAAGTAGTGAATAGCGAAAACATGTCTTAATTATCCGATTATGGTCAAGAAAACAAACGATTTGTCTTTAGCTAGCAACCGGTACGAGAGAGAGAGAGAGAGAGAGAGAGAGAGAGAGAGAGAGAGAGAGAGAAAGAGAATGAGTAAGTAACTTGGGATACGATTCAATTGATGCTATGTCTGTACAGTTAGTCACTCATACATATGAGTGTGTAATGCATTAATCCATTTGTGAAGTGGATGCTATATTGCGTTGCTGTTGGTGTTGGTGAGTCATATCTCGAAATTTTATATTCTGCGGAAAAGAGAGAGAGAGAGAGAGAGAGAGAGAAAAGGAGCCATGTCTGTTTGTGCAACTTGTAAAATCTTTGCTCGACTTCAAAATCAAGAGCGAAGTGGATGTATTTCAAGTCGCAGTTCGTGCAATGGATAGACAAATAAATTATAGATAAAAGTTATTCATAACATGAACTCAAACTTGGGATTTACTTTTCTTGTTCTCGTTTGGTGTGTCTGTGCGTTAGTCGCTACTTCATTTTGTTGCATCTCTTAAGCCATTCTTCATCAATGCCATCATCATCATCATCATTTTATCCATTGATATAGTAAAACCCAGGATAAATATATTGCATCTCTATTTTGCTTTAACACTTTCTCTCATCAATTTGCGCTTTGACGTGCGCGCGCGCGCACGCACACATCTCTGTCGCTTTTACGAAAATCGAAATTGAAATCGGTGTTGGCTCTGACTTTTGTCTCTACTACACCCAGAAACTTCAATATAAAATTTCGCCGCTCTCATCTCCAGCAAATGCTTTTATTATTATCTTAGCACAATCATCACTTGGAATCTGTTTTTATTGAGTCGAATATTGCCGAGCAGTAGCAGCTGCAGCGTTCTTATTCAGAATTGCGTATATGGTACGCAAACAAGTCGAGTGCTGGACGGCAAATAGTTTTACATTATCAAACCGGAGAGAGAGAGAGAGAGAGAGAGAGAGAGAGAGAGAGAGAGAGAAGAAAAAAAAACAGGCCGAACGAACGTAGCCTTCGTTGAAATAATTCAGGATGTGCGGAGTGCCGAAAAATTTCGACCTAAGGGTAATTTTCAAAAAAAATAAATCTTCAAATTAATTAAAGTAATTTTAAAATTTATTTAATTGATGGCGCAAACTATGTACAACACAGCCCAACCATTCAGTATACCATTCAATTTTCATTGTGAATACGAAAAGTGAGCAGTGCACCAGCTGAACGGCTAAATTGCAACCATGACATGAATGAAATGCAAAGCAATGTAAAATTCGTTTGAAATTCATGCAGCATGCAGCTAAAACGAACCGAACATATCGAAAGATTTGGAAGTTTGTAATAGTTGTGCGAACGGAGCAAGAGTATTAGATAAGTTTTGTTTGTATATAGCGTAAGAGTGTTATATTTCTTCGTTGCACATCTGTAGAGAGTACAGAGAAAAAGTAAAATTATATCCGTTTGAACGAGAAATTGGAATGATTTTAATAGAATGGATTTAATGTCGAAAGGGAAAAATGGAGAAAGAGAGAAAAAAAGAATCAACATTCGAGCATAATGAATATTCTATCTTTTCGGTAAGCGAGGCAGTGAAGAAAAATTAAACCACTTGAAATGAATATCTGTTTGGAAAGCGTACTATTCACACACACACTCACAACTGAAGCGAAATTATAGTAATAATGCATTAGCGTAGCGTGACGCGATGTGTGTGTGTGTATATAACTGCAACAATAGCCGAATCAACAAAATGACATTCATTTTAATTTCGCTCTTTGATATCAAATGTGATAATCTTAATTAGTTCAATAAATTAAAACGACTATGTGTACTGCGTCAGAGAAACTATACTAGCATAACACTGGGTACTGGGAGCGCCCAAAGTCAATGCGAATATGAGGGGGTGAACTGAACTCTCGCACATACATCGTCGTGTGTGTGTGTGTGTGTGTACGCTGGGAGAATTTCCGAAAGCAAAAAAAAAGCCCCAAAATACACAATCTTTCACGCACACACATGCAAAGCCAAAACTAAAACGCTTTTATTGTTATTGCGGCACCAAACCGTTTGTGAATGAAATGTCGAAGCGAGCAAAAATCAAATGGTTAACAATTCTCACGTCGTTTATGGAGCGAATAATGAGATTAAAAACTACTGATAACCAAAGCCACCTTCGTCTCATCTCATGCTACTCCCACACGTTTTCTCTCTTTACCAAATCCAAAATATTGCTGTCAGAGCGCTTGATATTTGATATTGAGGTTTTTCGGGCATGAGAGAGATAGAGAGGAGAGACGGTTGAGCACAGAATGTGCGCATATTAATATTCAATTAATTTTCATTGTGTGCAAACATTACAATCATTATGTACCATTT